GGGGCTGAACCAATGTACAATGTACATTTACAATTACTATTATTACAAGTACAATTACAATTATTGCAATAGGTGCTGATACAAGTACATGTATAAGTACAACAACTACAAGTACAACTATTACAAGCGCAATCAAACCCCATAATACCGCCTTCATTGGGACAAGCAAGAAGTTGGCGGGACCGCGGGGCTGGCAGTATAACGGGAGAGTACCGATTGTCAACTTGACTATCGGTAGACTGTTAAAGACCAAAAAGACAAACTGTGGCCAGTCCAGATTGATCTTTCTGTCTGGTGCGATAACCACGCGCAGGTGAAAAACGAGCAGCAATCAATCACACGTACAGCTCCGGTTGAATTTTGGGTAAATTCAAATTGAAAATGTCTGCCGAGTCAGAAGCTAATCTATAATGACAGTGACAATGTAGACACTGGGTTTTTTTGGTTTTTTTTGTTGTTTTGCTTTTGGTCTTCTTGTTGTACCCGATACTTGTTAGTCTTCGGGCCACTATAACTTTTCACGTAGACTTGAGTGTGAGTCCTAACCATATAAAAGGTTCACGGCTTCAATAATCTGGAGAAAATTGGCGACAGGTGCCAGAAAATGCCGACCTCGCAGAGACGTGGGGGGATAAAAAGATTAATCAAGTAGCCACCTATAGGTGCCGTGTACCTAGTGTAGTATTTATAGTTTGATATGGACCGTACAATTCAGACAATTGGCGGATGGTGGATGGTGGGTGGCGGTGTGAAGACCCAAACGCCTTGTTTATATAGGCGTTTAATTTCGTATATTGGTAAAACCTGGCAGTAAGCGGGGCTGGTAGTACATCGGGAGACAGTACAATTATTACTAGTACAGTTGCAGCCACAATTATTACGATTAAAATCATTGCAACTACATTTAAATTATTACAAGTACGGTTATTACAAACACAATTATTACAAGCACAGTTACAATTAAAAATTAATACATAAGTACAATTACAAGTGTAGCAAGTACAATAATTACAAATATAATTATAATTATTATTGGTACAAAATTAAGTATAATTGTGACAGAACCAATTCAAACTGCCATCACGATCATTACAATTACACATAAAACTGCATTTATTACAATTATACTTACAATTATTTATAGTCATTGCAGTGACAGTTACTGCTATCCCAATTGCATTTACAGGCACAGTTACAATAAGTACATTACAATCGCAATTGCTAAAGGCAATTGTAACATGTACAATTATAATTATTATAAACAATTATAATTCCTATATTTACAATTACAAATGCAAATGCAAGTGTAATTTCAAATACAGTTGCAAAGACAATGACAACGAGACGGACAATGACAATGACGATTACAATTACAATTAGAAAGAAAATGAGAATTAGACTGACAATGACAATGACAATATAATTACAATTACAATTATGACAAATACAATTACAAGGATAACTACAATGACAATTAAAATGACAATTGCAATGACATTTACAATTACAATTACGATTTAATTACAAATACAATTTACAAAGACAATGACAGACTTTACACTGACAATGATAATTACAATGATAATGACAATTACTATTACAAATGCAATTACAACGACAAGTACAATCACAATGACAATGACAATTATTGTAACAATTGTAATTACAAAATATCTTAACTTGCAAACGCAGTGGATTCGCCTTCGCCACTTTTTGGGGTATCCGCCTCGCCTCCCTTTTTTGGCGAATGCTGTTTTTAATCCACTCCCCTATACTGAAAAAAGGTGAGGGATCGTCAACTAAGGTCAGCCCTTAAATTTCATTCGCCTTCACTGCCTCGCCCGTTCCCACTGTGTACATAGTGGTATTGTTGGACGTTGTCTGGCATCATTTTAGAAAATTTATTTGTTTTACGTAAGGTCCAATCTTATCAAGGAGAACTGGAATGCAACATCTTTCTTTTTCAAATAATATTTCTTTTTAATCGTGACTTATAAGAAAACTATCTACAAAAGGGCGATATTTGCAAGAAGTAACTGTTTCTCGAGTTCATTGATTCTATTAACCCAATATCAACGTGAAATTTGACATCATCGTTTGAACTAATGCAGCAACATCAGCTTCACAGAGGTAAAAGAAAAGGGTGAGGGGAGCAGTGGCGGTGGGTGGACGGTGGGGCTTAGGTTGCTTCCACTTCTTTACCACCAAATAACAAGCAATAAGAATTAAACAGCAAGGAATTGTCTATAGTCACGGTGAGCCACGGCAGTTTGAGAAGCATTCAAACAAGAAGAGTTGCCTTTGTTTTCCATCTCTTTGTTCTCAGTTAAATTCTTGTTGATGGTAGGGACGAAGCCGATTAACGTCCAAATTTCCTCTAATTAGTTTTTGTGTGATGAAAAAGTTGCCTTACAAGTAGTTCGACCTGATTTATAACTGTTAAATCTCCGCGGCACAAACACAAACCTGCACACACAGCACTTCAAACATAATACTTCTATGAGCTGGATTAGGCCACGTAGTCAAGAAAGTTGAACACACCCAACAAAGAACCAATGAGCGCATAGGTATCTGTGTCAGTGGGGGGAAAGTGTGTCGTAAACTTTCACCCCATTGTCAGGGCTAAGAGAGCGTGAGCCCTCGGTACAGTGTTATTTTTTCCCAGTCTTCTACCTTTTTACAAGAAGAGTTTAATTAAGGACGGGCTGTGGGAAAAGGGCCCATCTTTGCTGAGCCCTAAAGACGTTTGATTGGCTGCTGGGTTACTATAGTTGTAAGCGGTGACAACAATGATTGGATAAGCGAGCAAGGCGCCAAGTTGATCACTCTGTCTTCATTGTGTGCGGCCATAACGGTTTCAACTGCTTATTTCATTATGGAGAAACTTTCATTTACTTTGGGGTAGAGTTGGGGAGGGGGTAGGGGGTAGGGGCTCAAGCCCGTGAGCCCTTCACTACCCACCGCCACTGGAGGGGAGGAAGGCGAATCCACTCTGTCGCTTCAGGTCCCTTCCCATTCGCCTCCCTTTCTTCATATTCTTTTAAGTTGGCGAAAGGGGGTGAAAGGCCGATCCACTGTGTTTGTACCTTTACTTTACTTTACTTTTTCTTCCGCTTGTACCGGTGGGTGTCGCGGTGAGACACAGGCGTCTGTCTGTAGCATGGCGAGTGGCCTGTAGGAAGGACATCCCGTGATCTCTAAGGGTGTCTGCCACAGATTTACTCCGGCGTCGTCTTGGTCTTCCTCTAGCTCTCCAGCCAGAGTATCTGGTGTTGTATGCCCTCAGAGCTGACAATGACAATGATTTTCCCTCTCATTTCAGCCCAGCCCGTAGCAAAACAGAAAACAACTCAACAACAAGAAAAACATCATGTCTCAACCACCAGCCTACCCACCCCCCTATGCCGAACCAAATGCTACACCGCCCCAAGGAGCATACCCCCCACCACCACAAGGAGGGTATCCCCCTCCACCACAAGGAGGATATCCCCCTCCACCACAAGGAGGATATCCCCCTCCACCGGGGGCGTACCCACCTCAGTCTCAGCAGATGGTACGTATACAGTCAAACATGTTCTAAAGACGACATGAATATACTTCTTTAATAACACAATCAGCTGTACAATCAGTACCTTGCCATTTTCTACTGTGATGTATTGTTAAGAGAGAGTAACTGTGTGTGGTTGTGATCGTTGTATTATCCGAGTTGTGTCCTTTATGCCTGTGTGTATCACGTGACCATTAAGATGTGTTTTCACGATTCACTCACGAGTCACGAGTCACGAGTCACGGCAGTTCTCGAACAAGTAGCACATGTCGAGTTGAAGACATTAAAATAATATATTGGCGACTCTTTGTATATTTT